ACCACAAAAGTAGGAAATAAATTTGTTTTAAATTTGGCTGTAACTCAAGTGAAAGTAATTAAATAGTTGTTTATATTATTATCATCCTGTGATTTATGTACAAAAAAAGGCTCCCAGTAAATGACAGGTCTTATTTAGATTGAATTTTACTCTGTGGTGTTTTATGTATCCCATGGTGAAATGTGTAATCGTCTGACTTTTACTAAGTTATTGTTACAGAAGGAATGAGCTTGTCTTAATTTGAAATAAAAGTTTAGTTTGATTTATTCTTCAACAGTCCCTAATTTATTTTATTCCAAATGATTCCTCTTGGTATAATATTCATTAAGTCTGGTTCCTTACTACCCTTATATTACCTTATACCTTATTACCCTTTTTAGAAAGTTACATGGACGTTGTGGTAATGTTAGATTGATATCAACAGGTAGGGGTGTGGTGCCATGGTAGCCTGTCTCTCTTCGGTAATCAATAAAATGCCCATTTCATTACAAAATTACATTCCCTTCTGACACTATACTTCCTGGTTAATCTTTAGTAGATAAAATATTTGCATATATGCAAAAGAAATTTATAATTCATAAAAATTAAATTAAATTATAATTTTTTTTATGGAGAATGTAGTGCATTGTTTAGCCGAGGGTGTACAAATTATTTGCAGTAAAAAATTATTTTAAAGCAGTAAAAACTCTGCAAAACTTGTTGTAGGCATCTTGGCAACGCAGGAGTAGTTGTCATTCATGTGCTCTGTTTGAGCTATATTAGCTTGTAGCTATATATAGTAACCTATATTGGTAAAACCATGTTAAGCATCTTAGGTAATAACAAGTACAGAAGTTATTCAATGACTTGTATAGTAGGTTAAAGCTTGCTGGTTAGATCATAAGAACGTTCAAACACTTTTTAATATTTCTAAACTGGACTTTTACCAAGTGGTTCTGGCTTTAGAACGTCGTTGTTTTAATTATTCTTGTCATTCGCCTATTGGGTCTGATGATGATTGGAGTGTCCAATCAAAATCGATCACCACTTACCATTTTTTATGTATATTTACTGTCTTGTGGGTAACACTAATAAGCGTAAATATATATTTTAAGTGATATAAGACGTTTCTTTTATTTTTATTGTAATTCTCTCTATACACTGATATTCTAATTACTGTAACCTTTAACTTATATATACAGTATATTTTGTGTTCTGTTTAAAAAAAAACAAGCAGCGTAACTCGCCTAAGCCAAATAAAACACTGAACAACTCTTCCTCATCTTCCAGTTTAATAGCAATTTGAAATACAAAATTAGAGCAAAAATTGTTGAAAGTAAGCCAATAACACTCAAGAGTACTGTAAAGCGGCAAAATAGTATTTTTCAAAATGAAAATATTAATTTGAAGTACAGTACTGTAGTGAAGACGGAGGTTGACAGAAGTAGGACCTGTCCTGTTGCATATGAGAAGGGCGTACACTGGTTCGCTCCACTGGCCATGAACAATTTCCTCTGTGACCTTCATGTTAAGTGTGTCATATAAGCCCTAGCATCTTCTACCATTGGGCCACCTATGTAGTTGATACCGAATAAACTAGCAGAAAATCTATTAATTTGATGAATTGATTTCGTGTTCTGGATTTCTTGTGGTTGGTTTCCTATTTATTTCCAGTGTTGTGAACAAATAATTTACGGGCTTATATTTGACAATATATTAGTGCTAAATTCAATTCTCAAGACATTTAAAGCGATTAGTATATTATTAGTTTCTTAAACAAAAAAAACTATGATGTTCTATTAAAATTTCCATTCATCAAAGGGTACATACATTTTAAGGACCATAAAAAGGATCATTTACAGAAATAAAAGTTATAGACAAATTGTGTCAACCTTTTTTTGTAGTGTAAGAAGTTATTATATAGGCTATTACATTATTCAACATTTCAAAGAAAAAAAATAATAGGCCTTACCTAGTTCAATTTCAGTATATTGATAAACGGTTGCAATATAAGGTTGAAAAGTGGGATAACAAATTGTTTATTCGGCTTCCTTTCTTTAGCTTTGAGTCAGATTTCATCTGGACTTTTTGGAGTAATGTTGCGGAAATACAAACCATTTATTTACTGTGTGAGCAGAATGTTGACAGATATTATATTTTGAGGTACTTTATAACGTCTAAAGACTGATGATAAAAATAATAAACCTACTCTGTGAATGTAAATTGTTTACATTATTATAACAATGTATTTTAATATTATTTTGTAGTTTGAAAGATATTAAAAGTCTTAACTGTTTAAGTACAATTTTGTAATCAAGTAAGATAAAATGAATGTGACTAAAAACAAATTTATTGTTCACCAATACAGCACATAATTGTAAATTCAGAGTCAATACTTCAAGTATTGTTCAACATATTTTTTTGTAAAGTATAACTTGTGCAGATAAAATATGTAGAATAGGTTACCCAAAGTGCAATAGACAATAGTATTTTAAGGTTTATGTTTTTGTACACACTTATTTTTGTGTTGTCTATATATTAACCTCTCATTAATGGAAATTGTTAGTAAGACATTTTTTTATTTTTAAAAGAAAAAAACAAACAAAAAATACCAATTTGAAACCAATATTGTTTACTAGTGTAATTTCTATTCATGTATTGTCAACAGCAAAGTTCAGTTAGTTAGGTACTATTCAGCGAGGTATTTAAGTTAAAGTGGTATTGAATGTTAGGCAGTCATTAAGTTTAAAGTTTGTGGTCTTGTTGTCTAATAATTTTCTGTTATTATTACACTACTTGTCGTGAGTCGGTCTCTTAGTTTCATCTCAACTGTGACTTTAGTAAGAATATTTAATACGTAAGGTAAATTCAATTGATTTTAGATACATGTTAACATTTTCTGCTCATTTTTGTGAATTATTCTTGTTAAAAATATTTAAGCCTTGGATACAAGCTAAAATGTTTCAGTCTAAATTAATTGAAGAATAACTGTTTTTTCCAATTATTGTCGTCAGTAATCTTAGCAACCATACAACCTAGTCATTCAAATACTGTAGTATTTTGTCTAAAAAATCCAAGGTATAGAGTTTTGTTCTTTTGCTAGTTGTTATTTCAGTATATATATATAATTTGATTGATTTCTTTTAATAATTATTTTAAAACCTTTTTGATTGAGTGTCTCCAGTAATTAGTAACACACTATGGTTGTTGTTGAGTCTGGTTTAGAATAAAACATAGTTAATTGTTAATTCTATTAGAATAGATTTAAATTAACTATAAACACTTTGAATATTTCTAAGATTTACTTATTAAATACCAAGTTTCAAGACAATTTTAAAGATTAGTTTTAAGACACCCTTATCACAGCTTAGAGTTATTGACATATTGGAGCAGAGTTTTAACATTCTGCTTGCTTAGGCAAGTCAGAATCTCTTGGCACAGAATGTTATGTGCAATTTGTCTTGGTTCATGAAATGTTTTATTTATTGTTCATATCAGGGCTGTATCAGAAATTAAGAGAATTATATTTAATATCATATTGATAAATACTCTCATTCTGCTTTATCCACGAGAAAATTTGTTAAAATATCTAAAATATTTACCCAGTATATAACCAACATCTTTTGGATACTAGTTCAATTCAAATAAATTGAAATTTGTGTTACAACACATGTAACTAATAAATACAATATCAGAGGAAAATTAAAATTTTATTGACGTATCACATACAGAAATTTAGCAGTATTTAAAAAATATGACACCGTTTTATTTAGAAGAGTATGCTAGGAGTACCGGTACCCCATGGATAAAAAAAATAAATTATTACTTTTGCTATTAAAATTTGGTTAATTACTGGATACTTTTCAAAATTACAGTAGTGTGTGTTAATATTGTTTTTTATCATGTTTGTAGATAGCAAAAATTAATTTTTCAACATGTTCTAATGTTGTGGGATTGACTTTAAATTGCTAGAAAGTAATGCAATAGGCTATTCACAGTACAGTTTATTCACAGTTAACATGAACAGTAAGTAATCACAAATGACAGGGGGAGACTGTCCTAGAGGGAGAGAAGGGGGTTTGCTACCCTTCTGTACTTAAGGTTTTATTGGCTGACACTCATGAGGGGGTTTAGGATTGTGCAACTCGAGTCTCAACACCACAAAGAACCTCTTTGTGCATTGTGCAACCTGTATTGGGTTTTGTTTGAAACTATTTGCACAGACTGATATATTATTGTGCAAATACATAGCCCTAGTCTACATTCCCAAGCATGACCCAAAGATTTTAAATATGTTCTCAATTTGGTTTTGGTAGAATTATGTATGGAGATTTTTTTTCTGATCAAGCATAGAGGGTAACACTCAATAAAGAAGTATTTTCATTTAATTTAATTTAATCTGTTTTAGTTTAACATAGTTACTGTATTTGATATTTTGTAAATTGTTATTATTTTTTTTGTACTTACAATCGTCATGAATAATGCTGTTATTAATACAGCAAATGAATACTTAAATCTAATCGATATAATTGTCGGACTTTCACTCATGATCTGTATATAAGCTAGCATGTTACTATTATTTTTATTTGAGTCTTTCTATTCTGTATCAATTTAATTTGATATTCATGAGTTTTAGAGTCAATTCCACATTTAATATGCTCTCCCCTTTAATAATAAGATCTAAAATTAAAAAATACAGGTGCAATTAAATAGAAATATTTCGACATGTAAAAAAATTCTCTTCTGTGAATCCTTTTTTTGCTGTTTGGTTTTAGTAACTTACTTGGTGTTGGAAGTCTACAATAATATTTAACAAGATCATGCCACAATTAACAATGGAATACTGTATTACAAAATAATTTTTAAGGTCCACCACAAAAACAGAAAAACTTACATATTTTTTTAAAGGAACGCTATTTCTTTAGTATAATTCAAAATAATGTATTGTAAGCAAGTTTAAAATCTATTAGCTTAAACAATTGTTTAAGCTAGTAGTTTAAGCAATTATTTATTTGTTACAGCCGCAGCACAAAGGGAAGTATCTAGTAGAACACGTTTGTCGGCAACTCAACCTGATAGAGAAAGACTACTTCGGCCTGAGATATGTTGACTCTACCAAGCAGAGGGTGAGTTTTACTCATCATTCACTTGTGTGTAGACCTAGTACAATCCAAATTAACCATTGTTGGCATTGAATTTGTTTGCTTAATTGATAAAAATACATGGGTTGGGTGGTTGGTGGGATTTTACAATCCTGTAGCTTCAAAAATTTTGAAACAAAAATTCAGTCTCTTCGGCTTTTAAAAAATGTTGTGAAAAATTATATATGACTTAACAGACTTTCGTCTAAGGGTACTGATGTAAACAGTAGTAAAAATGCTTGCTTAGATGAAAATTACTAGGAGTCCATTATTAATGGTGCATTTAAAATATCTAAATTCTTTAATTACTTAAAAGTGACATTTATCTTTCCTCACTAAAAAAAACTCAAAAAAACTGTAAAATAAGTTCCGTTTACAAAATGAACATTCAGTTAACTGAAGAACCAAGTTAGAATTTAATGAGTTAGTTATAGCATTCAGTCAATTTACTACACAGCTCACCCACTATCTTAGGATTACTTTAGAGCTGAGATAATAGGCATCCATATCACTGTGAAAGCACCTTGTTGTGTAATAAAAAATATTGCATGTCAAATAGATTAAGTATTCAATTTTATGGCACTGAATTTTCTTAACAAACTTTCAACATTTAGAGTTTGAATATATGCCATTAAATAAATTGTTTGTTAAAAGAATTTGTTCAAATTTGTGTTCTCCATAAGAAGGTTATTTAGTCTAGGGCTGTGCAAGTGTCCGGTTATTGGTGTAAACAGTGGGAGAAATGTATAGGAAGGGTTTGAGTGTGATGAATGTAGCAAACACTACATGGAAGGGGAAACAGTGTTGTCTCGTGTACTCAATGCGTAAAGAGAACTGTGCGCTTTATTGTGGAACCGTCCAAAAATATAACTTAAAATCTACACGTTACAGAAAATTGTATGATAATGAAGGATTATTCATACCTTTTATAATTTTTAATGCTTAATATTTTAGGTTATGACTCTACCATGTTCTTAAATCTTGAGTTGTTATTTTTTTGTTAACAGAAGCCAACCTTGTCTTCACATTTTCATCTTTCCATTGAGAAAGGTACACAATGTTATGGGTTTTTGATTGTTGGGGTTTTTAGTAAATAGTTGTGTATAAAAGAACGGCTGATCTTAGTCAGTAACAAAGCTATATTGGTAACCTCATCTCACTCCATTCTTTACTCCCTGCATTCATGTGTAGTTTAAAAGTGTCACTAATATTGTAGTTTTTTTATGCTAAAAATACTAGGGTGGTCTGCCGTTACACTTTAGACGCATAAATGAGCAAAGCATTATTTAAAGATTGTCAATGGCTAAAGCAGCTAACAACCTACAATATGTTCCCTTTCAACAGATTCACCGTTTGTTTGCCCGATATTATTTAAGTTCTAAAGAATGACAAATTGATCTGATCGGTGATTGGTTTGAAGCTGTTAGTTGATGGCGATGACAGTTAGTGCAAGTGTAAAATTGTAGTGCATCTAATTCTTGTTGGAATTGATTAGCTAACTGCCTATCATTATCAGCTTCTTCCGCCACTGCTTCATCTGGTTCTTCTTGTTCACGATGCCACTCTCTTACAATATTTGCATTATTGGTGCGACGACCAATTGAGGCATGCTCAAAACAAATATAGCAAAACTGTTACTTCCATTGATAAATTAACCTAGGATGAAAGTAAACATTGAAATGTAAACAAAACAGTTACAAACAATTAACATATGTTTATCTTATTTAAATGAAACGAGATAAACCCAATATATTTTTTCTTTCAACTTACATTAAAATAACAAGCGAAATTGCAAGACCCGTAAAATAAAATCCAGAAGGAAATTTGCAAATATTTTTTACCAAAACATTGTGCTCAGTATTCTTTAGCTGTTGGCCAAATTTCATATCAATTGGTCAAGCCATTACATTCTGATGCTCTTACAAAGAAGTTACAGAGTGAGGGAAAGTGAGCTTCGCTCAATAAAAATTCTTTATTTCCTGTGACTTTACTGTTCATAATGAGCAAAGTAATTCTTCCAATCGACCCATATTCGGGTAATCAACCTCTACATTGATTTAGATGGGAGGAAGACAGAGGAAAATTCTAGTAGAAGTCGGACAGCAAATAGAAAGAGTTAGTTACTTTACACAGTCCCATTGTGTGGCCGGGAGGTGCATTAACGCTGATGGAATGCTAGTTTACCGAGCCCCGCCCTCTCTATACACCTGCCTTGTTGATTTTTGTATTTCCATTGACACTGTTTGACGAGCACTTGAATAGTGCAGTTATATAAATCAATTCAGCTTAATTTCTAGACTCAAACAAAGTAATGTACTTTTGGGTAATGTTGTGTGAGTCTGTTTTTTGTTAGTAAAAAATTAACTAAAAAACTTCAAATTTGTATTGTAAATAATTTTATTGCTTTGTTGTCTACCGTGGGCTTAATAAACATCCATGTGTTTGTTGCAATGGAGAGTAAACCTAAAACATAGGTATTAGTATGTGACAAGATGAGGTTACTTTTTGACCTCTACTGATACAATCACTGGTTCTTCTCAGTTTTGCTTACTACTCGTACAAACAAATGTTAAAGTGGAGTTTACAGTGTCCCAGTTTCGGGTCTATACAGTATTATTCCATGCTGATAGAGTTTTTACTACTGCACATACTTTTGTGGTTTGATAATTTCATATTTGTAATTCCTTTTCTTTGTCTTTTGTCCTGTTGAGAATTTATAAAAACATACTGATTTTCTGATTATATTGGCTATGTAATAATCTTCCCGTTTCCCTATTGTTTTGCTTAGAATCCCTTATTTATATGTAACTTATATATACCTGGAGTGTCAAGCAACAACCAAAAATTGCTAGATCAGACATTTTTAGGGAGCTATCCATCTAATCAAAAGAACTACAAGTTTCACAGATTGGAACAGTGCCTGTCACTAATCCTGGACTTTTGATTGATGATCGTGATTAAATCAATCAGCTGGTTTTGTCAGTAAAATAAACCTTACACACTCATTTTAATATTAACTCTGGAACTAAACATTAAAATAACTACCAACAAGTGTGTATTTCTTCTACTTTATTGATCAAGAATTATTTGAATACTTTTTTGTATTAAAGAATTTTACACTTTTTAAACCGTTTACTTCTTAGCGAAGTTCCTAACCTTTTAATTCTCTTACCAACATGTACATTTAACATATATTTGCTACAGAAAATTAATTTAGTCCCACAGTTAAAGTAATACTGTATACACATTGTGTTTATTTATTCTTATACTCCGTTCATAATACTTAGGTGGTTTGAGGGGAAGTTCCCCCACCAATGTTTCCTGCTTAATGTATGTTGCAGCTGATTGACGTTTTGTCAACTCTCAGCTGTTCAGCTATGTTGTAATGGTAGGATCAAGATGTGGAGGGGATGGATTTCTTCCCCTAAAACCGAAACTGCCTAAATTTTGTGAACGGAGTACAACACCAACCTAGGTTTTAAAGCAGTTGTTGTAATTAATTGTTTTTGTGTTGCTGTGTCTATTTGAATAGTAAATTTAAACCTGATTTAAATTAAAACTAGTGTACCTGTTGCTCGAATTCGAGCAATTGCTAAGTATTACAGGCGTTATTTTAAAACGAATAAGTCATAATTTCTGATGACTTTAAAAGATTCGACTCAAAGATTATTGAAATACTCAAGATATACATAACAGATCGATATATATAATCAACATTTCTTGTAAATATCTTATCATTTTGTGTTCTCTACAAATAGTCTTAGTTATAGCCGCATTAGGTTGTCCATAACAACAATAGATTCTAAAAACATTATTTCTATTTCTTCTCCTTGGTGGTGTTCTATGACTTTCCTATGTTTCCATAGTTTGCAAATCGGCTCTTTCAATGATTACTAAGAAATGCAGCACAGTGTTAATTCAGTTTGCTTTTTAGTGTATAAAATTATCCAGGCTCTCTCGCACATTGTAAAATTTACGCCCACCAAAATTCAAATAGTAAATATTTCATTTCAACCAAATCAGTAAATGTTTGTAGCAAACTGTTAAAATAGCAAACTTATTGACTGTTTACAATTAACATATGTTCTTCTCCTCACTTTTAATTTCTGTACTTGCTTAACAATATTTGTTTCCCATGTTAATCTTATGGAGAAATACAAAACTTTAAAGGGCCTCAGGGCCTCACTCTCTAATTATGTCCCTAAAAAGAAAGTTTCCTGCACAACTTCACGCTACGCTCTTTCCAATGACACCAAAAACATGTCAAACGGTTCAGTAGTTTCGGAGGAGTATTGTCACAAAAAATCTGCTTGCGTATTAAATAAGTATAGATAATATATAGAATAGATATGAAGTTTGATGAAGAAAATCCTACTTCATGAGTGTAGCAAATTTTAAAATTGACTCACAAAACATTTAAGAACTTTTTGTTTTATACAACATTTTTTTTAGCAAGTACAAAATCCTCAGTTTTGTTTTTACAACTTTATAGTTGGATTTTTCTCTTAACATGCCAATGACGCGGTAGTACATTGAACAGGATTAATCTCTGGCAGTGGCATTACAGTATGAGGCTTACAGTTTGCTCTAGTATGAAATATGTGCGTCTCTGGTTATTCTTTTGGAATATCGTAAGTGAGGGACAAGTGGAACCCAAGTCGTGCATACGTAATGGACGAAATACGATCTCTCAATCAATATCCACCGAGTCTTCTCATCCGGCTTGAGGAATCAGCCGTTATCGGATTAATACTGGAATATGCTGCGTTACTGATTATAATGGAGCGATTACATTATTGGTTTATCTTTTATAAACTTCCTTGAAACTGATGAATGAATTTGTGATCGATTGACTTTATTGAACATCAATGAGACGACTTAAATTTTACACTAAGTGTAGTTTAGTTTTTTATTCAGCTGAAAATTAATTTTGAAACTAGATAGTTGGATATGGGCCAGACAAATATATAGTGTCGCATGATTTGTAAAAAGAGAAAGCAAAAAGCCAAAATTTACTTTTTTATATACCTATTTTAAAGCTTATGGTGATTTAAAAAGTGTTTAATCCTAAAAACATTGGTTTATACAGGCAGTGGTAAATCGTATTTTGAATGTAGCACAAAAAACATGATTTAATATATTAAAATTCGTAAATGTGTAAGTACGGTAACTCATTTCTTAAAACAAGTAACTTCTTAAAAAGTTTATTTTTATTAAAAAGCCTAACATAAATATAAGGTTTGTTTTTCTTTTCCACACCGTTTGCAATTTTTGTATAAGTTGAAAGAGAATGATATTCTAACGCTTTTTAGGAAAGTGGTATGCCCAGGAGTTGGGAATCTTTATTTAATTAAAGTGTTATAGCTAAATTGATTATTTACCAACCAATTTTTATGGTGTTAGTGGTTGTGTGGTTTTGAAGTAAGCTTGCTAGGACTCATCTACTGAGCTTAAGGACTTGACTGCCTTCAAGTATTTTAAAAACTGATATGAGACTAAAAAAATATTTTTTTTTTATGTTAAAAGTTTGAATTTTTGTTATTTACTAAGAAATGTTTTCATTGCATACTTGTGTATTATCATTAAGAATATCAATGGTAGGTCTTTATTTAAATATATTCTGTTTAAGTCCAAAATTTAAATGAATCTTTATGTTTTAACGAATAAACTTTGGTAGAAATTATAGTTTAAAAAATAATCACTTTTACACCAGAGAATAAATTGTAAGGCTGTGATTTTGTGTGTTGTAGCAACATTCATCTTACACAGCCACTTTGATCGCATGAGAGCTGTATTTTCATGAGTGATTCAGGATTGAAGGGATTAATGTCAGACTACAGTTACCGTCTGTCTCACTTATATACTGTAATGAATTGTATACCATTTAAATCGCATTAATGCACTTACCTAGATAGAATAGAACCAAATTAATTACTTTAGGATTTTAAACTTTTTTTTAATTGTATATTTTAAAAGTTGTAACCATTTCATGGGACATTTGGCTGATTTACTGTAAATACTAACATAAACTATAGACAAAAAGAAGTAAATATAGACTGTCAGTTGTGCTGCGGTTACCATAGTTACCATAGGTTCTGGCACACACCGCTGGGAGCGCCAAGTAGTTACGTAGCACGTACGCCGTAACTACACAACGCTCCCCAGTGTGCGCCAGAACCTATGGTAACCGCAGCACAGCTGACTGTCTATATTTAATTCTTTTTGTCTATGCTTAAACCCACCACATTTCATTTTCATAAAGGCAGCAAACCTAATCATCCATCAAGCCCAATATTATTCATGCTAGAGGTAAAATTCAGTTTACTATTATAGGGAATATTAATCAGCCCAAGATGTTTGCTCAATTTGTAGTTTTGCTATGTTGGTAGTATTTTATTTGGCTGTTTTTGGTATAAAAATTGTTTGTTTGTGCAGAGATTAAATAGGTTATCAGACACAAAAATGTTTGTTATTTTATTATTTTTTTGGTCTCGCCGAATAACTTGGTATTTAGCTTGGTTTTATGGGGTTCTGTATCTCAGACCATGGTTGGATGAACAGTTTAAGTTATGCAGTCATTCATAGGCGTTGACTCTCTTATCAGGGTCAACTGATTTGAATTAGATGAATGACGTCAAACCTTTCACAATGATTACCTGATGTCATCGTAATTCTGCGTAGAACATTGGACTTCTATCATGTGTTATACAACACCTTACTCTTTTACAAGATTTTTTATTTTTGTTTTTTGCGCAGTAATAAATACTATGTTTTTACAAACTATGTTTTTTTTCACTAAAATATGAAATTGCTGCTATATCCCGATATTTTGTAGCTGAGCCATAGAATAAATAAACAGTATCAAATATTCAGTGTACCACATTCATCTAGGTTAAAACAATAACTATTATCTTGTAATCTTCTTTTTATTAGGCAGAGTAGGGATTGGGTTATTAATATGAAGTTTGTATTTATGATTGCCTAAACAATCCTTCTACAGAGATTTAGTGTAAAATTGACATGATTCAACTTTTAAGTGCTGGGTTATCATTACTGTAGTAACATACGGATGAAAAGTAATTGGTGGTGATTAATTACAGTGTCATAAATAGTTATAATATTACATTTTTGACTTCCATATTTTTGTTTAAATTTATTTATACAATTATTATTCATAATGTAAAACAGAAATTCCTCAACATCCCTTTTTTTGAATAGCTAAACCTTCAAACATTTTTTAGGGGAAAAATAATGAAATGTCAAGTAATATTTATCTCTGTTCCAGCATTGGCTAGATCCAGCGAAACTGGTGCTGAAACAAGTAAAAGGTTAGTTTTTGTTGAGTTTTCATTATCAGAGTTTAAAGTAACCATGCATTTTGATAGTTTTGAGAAAAAATATTGTCAACACTATAAATGTTTGAACAACAACACAATAGCATAGAAATTAGTGTTTTGTTTTTAGTTTATATATTCCTACAATAGATTGTACAATTTAAAATCGTACTGTAATTTAACATTCACTGTATATTAATTATTGTCTTAATTGGTTTTAGGTTAACTTTGATAATTTTTATATGATAATCACTTCACAATGAATCCATTAAAAGATTTAATTTCTTTTGCAGACATGGACCCAATTTTATTTAGCTTCAGAGTGAAATTCTACCCACCAGACCCTTTCAGACTGAAAGAAGAAATAACTAGGTAAATATCTAATATAGTTTAGGGGTAAATGTGCTCGCGTAACAAATAAAAGGTTGCCAGTTTGATTGTGAGAAAAGTCAGTAGCTTTTTGAGAGTTTGAAACTGGACCCAGCTGTTCCTGATCATTGTGCTTTAAATACATTATACTGGCTGATGAAACAGCTGATCTTAGTAACAAAGCTACACAGATCCTCTCATACCATTTCATACTCATCCCTCACTACTCGTATTTGGATTAAAATATGCACCTAGGTAGCGCCCCCATCTACAAATATTAATTAAATATCTTACTAATACTGGAAAGAAAAAGGCACAGTAGCACTGGATCTAGGTGTTACCAAGACAGTAAAGGTAATAGGTACTTCTCTATAGGGAATTTCGCTGCAACAAATCAACATTTTGAAAGCCGTCAGTTTGATTTAATCAAATTACTATTACCAAGGAAGTGTAGTGTGTGTTTGACAATCGACCTCCTTCTGATGACTTTGTGTGCTGTTTCTGGTTAGTGTTATAAATTCAAAACATGTTCATCAGATTGCCTGATACTTGTTTAGGTACCAAGTATACCTGCAGCTGAAGAGAGATTTGCTACACGGTCGGCTGTACTGTACATCGAGTGAGGCAGCGTTGCTTGGTGCCTATATTGTTCAAGGTATGCCATTATAATGTCATAGTCAATTAGTGTGTATAAAAATTTTCAGTTATGTCGGCTACATTATAGCATTTTTATTCAATCTTTTTAGAAATAAATTTTTATTCTACCTGATGAATTTTTATGATATACTGGGTAAAGTTTTGCAATATCTACTTTGCTAGCCTACAGATGTGGGTAAATTGCAATCTTCACATATTCTGTGTATTCTACAGTAGTGTATCTAAATCAAAGACTTGGGTGTGTTGCTAGCCTAGTAGTTAGCGTCTCGGACTTTGGTGCGGGAGGGCCGGGTTTGATTCTCACTTCTCGGCACATCCACAAAACTTTTGGTTTGGATCACTAATGCCACTGGCGTAGATACAAGATAAGAAAGGTGTTATATTAAACTCTTTCCTAGCCAGCTGTAGGCCTAATGGGGCTGCGCCTAGGTCAGACTTTGTTACGAGAGAAACATGTTCTTTGTTTAAAGTTCATTGTTGGTGATGGTAAGTTAATGTTGTTCAAAGGTTTATTGCGGACATTTTTCATCACGATTCCCCCAAGAGGGGGGTTGGAATACCCTCTGTAGTGTATTTCAACTTAGGTTGGGCGTTTGTGTATTGTTAGTTGTAATGTGTTAGTTAAGTTTTTTCACCTGAGGACGGGATCAGATTCCAGATGTGTATTGTATTTTACAATCGTGATGGAAAATGTCCGCAACAAACCTTTGAACAACAGAAACATGTTCTCTCTAAAATTGTTTCCTAGCACATCTAGAATCATTTTTTTGTGTTTTGGATGACTTTCTCTTAAAACTTTTTGTGATTCCTTAACTTATAATGCTACTAGTGAAGAAATTTAGAAGGCTGGTTATAAGGTTTGGCATACACCTTAAACATGTAAAATACCATAGGAATAAATATATTTGACACATTATTGAATGAAAAACTTAGCCAGTAAAGAAGAGAACTTATCAGGAAACAAATATTCAGAAAGTTCCCTGAAGGCAGAATACTAGTTGTAAGTCCCCCAAAAAGGTTCTTGAACCAGGTCCGAAAGGATATTAAAGGAAGATGGGGCTCAATAAGATGCTGTGGACCACACCTATGGATAGGTTGATGACGAGTTTTAATTACTAACCAAGGTACAAATGGCCACTTCATTAAACAAGATGCAATTCGCCAAATCAGGTTGATTAACATTGGTAGTTATTGTTGTGTGTACTGTAATCTTTCTGAATAGTACAGTTGTACATAATATTGAAAAAAGATTTTTCTAATAATAATATAATAATGATAGTTTTGTTTATTGATTTGCAGCGGAGCTTGGTGATTACAATCCCGAAGAACACGTGGAGAACTACCTGAGTGAGATGAAGATTCTGCTGAAACAGACCCAACTGATAGAAGAGAAGATCATGGAGTTGCATCAGACACAGATGAAGGGGCAGACACCTGCGCAGACTGAGAGTAATTTTCTGCGCAAGGCTTGCACACTGGACACCTACGGAGTGGACCCTCATCCTGTTAAGGTGGGTTTGTAGTCTTTATCGTTACTCTACCATAAGTGAAGACGAAACCATTAAATTTAGCGATTTTGGGATGTTGATAATCTTCTTCCTACTTACAATAGGCCATTGAGATTATCATAAAATATAGATAAAAACACAATGCTGCATGTTTTAACTTGAAAGTGAGTGCAAGAAGAGTACCTATGTGAGATGCATTTTATACAATTGTTTCTGATACAGACCAGCTCTGTTTCTCTAGTCAAAACTTTTTATTAAAATCCCTACTAGGGCTAGTGTTGAACCATAATAAAGCTGCCGACTTTTCTGAGAATAGAACTGTCTTCTTCTGATTAATAGGTGAGCCCTAAAATCACTATAGTTGATTCACTCAGTGACTCAGAATCATTTGCACGCGACTTTTGTGTGTTTTGTCGAACAAAATGTATGTTTACTTATATTTATCAATGACCACAGGATCATAAAGGCAACCAACTCTACCTCGGTATCAACCACTTGGGCATTTTGACGTTCCAAGGCAGTCGGAAAACAAACCACTTCCGCTGGTCTGAGGTGACCAAGATAAACTACGAGGGGAAGATGTTCATCATACATCTCGTCTATCAAGAGGTGATTGAATTGTGTTTGTAATACAACACTACTTACTTACTCTTGACCTTGTGTACCCATGATTACAAGCTGCTTGTTTTTAAATCTTCTTTATGCATTCTTATCTTCGCCATATTTTTCTTTACTTCATCTCTCCAATGCTATTTTATCGGTATAATGGTTACTTTTCTATAAGATAAATAAAGTAAAATAACTCTAATATCTACCACAGTTGCAGTTGATGATGGTAACTGAACATAAAAAATATGACTTGAGTTTTAGCTTTTCCAGGTGATGAAGAATCTTGCATGTATTATGAGTACACATTCAGTTAATAGGCTAAAAGCAATCCAAATGATTTTCAATATGTGTAGTTAAGTTTATTAATATGAAAAAAAGGAGGAATTCTCTAATAATAAACTTGCATAAACACAACTGGACTAACTCAATTTTTGTATCCACTGTTTATGCTTTCATTAGGACCCAAGAACCAAAGTAAGTAGTATAAAAAAACATCTAGGAGAAACTTGTGTGTAAATATTAAAAAAATCCGCTAAAGGAAATATTATTTAAAATAAAGTTGATAACTCTTAAACTTAATTATTAAAGTATTAAGTATTTACATTATATTTTGAATTTTGATCTAAGTTCTAAAATTATTTTTATTAATTAGACTGGTTTTTTTCACAGAAAAAGACAACAGTAGGATTCAAATGTCCCACGGGCTCTGCTTGTAGACATGTCTGGAGATGTGCCATCGAGCAGATGTTGTTTTTCACGTGAGTATCTTTATTATATTGCTTTATTATATTTATTATATTATTTTATATTTCTTCTACCCAACATAGTCGAGATTTAGTTGATATTAATAAATAGTTATGGCAAGAAAAACCGCTGGTCTAAATCAGTAACAACGCTTTATAAATGCTTTAACCTATCCCACATTTATTTATACATATCTTCCTATATGCTACAGTTAATACCTGCTTTCCCATCTTCTTGTATTCTTTCACAGTTCCTCTTCCTTCACAATCTTCAATCTCCCTTCTTTTTTTTAAAGAAAATCGGCTACATCTGGTCTGCATATTTTCAGTCCACAAATGACAGTACAGTACACTCCTGATTAACCGAGGTTGTTGGGACTGAGACTATCTCGGTTTCTGAGAATCTCTGATGACACGGAGGTGTCTTTGATTTTGAGGTAGGGGTTACAGTACCACATTAGGAAGTCAAAGACTTCTAAGTAGGCTTGAATGTTTTAATAACAATGCACAGAGAATACAAAATTATCTATAGCTGGTATTTGAATGGTAAATGTTTTTTAAATAAGGCAGTGTTATTAAGGAAAACAATAACTCAAACATGCTTAACACTTCTTAAATTGTCTCTGGAATTTTTTTTAAATACAGCAGGCCTATTATTGATGCCAAGCCAACACTCTACAGGTGTGAATAAAAACACAATAAGGTGGATCCCTACAGTTTATAAAGTATAAAATTATTTTGTTTGAATTTGACTTGAACTATACTTGACTCAATCATGTCAATAAACTTTGTAACGACAAACACTGACAAAAGGCGATATAACCCAACAAGGTGGTAATGCTAGAGCAGAAGTGCTAACTTACTGCCACTGCTTTTGTTGACGTTCTGCAGACGATTCGTCCAGCTTACCAATGGTTAGCGGTCAAACTAGTACAATGTGCTGTGTGTGATTTTCATTTTCTAGGTCATTGCGGATAATTTGCACGTTAAAATAATACCTATTTATAGTTATTTAAAGTATTCAATTAAAGAAATTTGAAATTACTTGCTATTTCTACTTTATTTTCAACAGACATATTCCTAAAAATGTAATTGTTGTTTTCCGACCGGAAATAAAAAATATATATATTTAGGCCTAAAACGACCTCGGATAACTTGGGGGTTTGAATGATCGAAAGTGTACTGTAGTTAAACTCCGCATGTAGAGTGCTATAGTGGTTGCTCTATCTCCGCAGACTACCCAGCAGTGCTGACGCGCCCAGTGTTGTGACGGGAGGCAGCTTTTTCTCCTGGAGCAGCAGCAAGTTCCGTTACTCAGGTCGGGTGGAGAAGGAGATCCTGGAGGACCCGGCGCTGCGCAGGGATGAACCCAGCATAACCCGGGGAAGCTTGCGACGCAAGGCCAACAGTGTTCCGGCCACCCCCTCTACACCAATCACCAGTGACTTGGGTATGTGCTGCGGTGTTGCCTGTCAAACATTTCCTCAATAATGGTTGGGTTAACCCTCTAAGCGTTGACATTTCCCTGGAGTTTTTTTGTATTTTGGACCGTTGGTCTTTTCTAATTTGGTGGGTCATGTTTTTGCCTGTTCTTCGAATAAATAATTTGAAAAGTTGAAGAGCTTACGGCCCGACATTAGAATTGTTATTTGGCGTGGAGTGTCTGAAAATTGAAAACAAGACTTACTAGTGTTCTAAAATTGGTATTTTAAACATGCTGATGTAGTAAAATATTCTCATTCTCGGATCATCTCAATCCATTTCCCTGAGCAGATTTACAAATTTGTTTAATGTTTTCTTTGTTCGCACACCCAAGTACCAAATTATAGTAGTTTTCAAAACTCAAATCTTTCACAAATATACTAATTACATGTTTTGAAAAATCCCACACAACCATATTGTGAAAATACTAAATTATAGGCCTACAACTAAATCAAACTGGCAAAATGAAAAAAAAGATAACCAAAAGCTGTAAATAAAGATTTTTGTTAAGATAGAAGCCATAGCTGAGTAAGAACAAGTGAACTCTGACGCAAGACAATATTATACACACAAATTCTAATATTTAAGTGGTTATTGTTGAACCGAAGACATCTCCCTTCCCAACTTAAACATTCCGTGGTTTAAAAGCTGTCGTTGGCTATGAAATATTCTATTGTTTGTGTATTCCAAGTTTGTTGCTTGTGCCAGGTCGGCTGTTTTCCCATTCTGGTAAGCCATCCTTGAAATATAGGCCCTTGTGTATTACCATATAATGTAACAACTAAGGTTTTATGTATGTGTATCAGTTGTCCTTACAGCAGTGCGTTCAGGAATCCCCGCTGTAAGAGACAGAACATGAATGTCAATTAACTCGTGTTACTCAGTTGAGGCCCCTCGTACAGTTTACGGCTACAAAAAATTATCAGTTGCAAAGCTCCACGAGATATGGTCAATTGTAGCTCAGAGGGTTAAAGCCCAGTTCTGTCCCACAGGCTATAGCAGTCTGCCCAGATCCAACCATTCAGCAGACTGTAGGTTAGACTCCACCATTGTCCCTGACATCATCACTCCAGACAGCACCATACCATTGGAGACTGTCTCTGAGGACCAGGAAGTTAAGCAGAGAGCAGCTGGTAGGTAGTTAGTCACTTTACCCGATTTTGTTAATTTCACTATTTCAAAGTTCATTTGTTACTTCCTGTCAGTTTTATTGCGATTCCTCTACTCTCACTGGTTTCCTCAAATGCTTATACATTTTGATATTACTGTAACTTATTTTGCAGTAGATTTCTTAAGTTATTTGTGGGATTGATTGTTTACATTGATATCCCTCTATTGAAACAACATAATAACAATATAATTTTACCAACATTTTATATCTTGACATTATAGTCACATTTTATACAGTAGGGTGAATGGCTAACCCCCAATATTGTGTAATTTGAATGAATAGCCATGTTGTGAAAGGTTAGGATGAGGGGTACAAAAGAAACTGTACACACCACAACACTGAAATTGTATCCTGGTGAAGGTATGGTTGAGAAATGTCAGACAAGGTTAAAAAAATCACAAGATTAAGACTAAGAGTAAAAGATAGGGATGGATGGTATTGTACGTTTTGTTTATGCAGGGCTGTTTATGTTTTCTTCCTAATTTGAGGGACCAAAATACATGGTATTATCCCTCCAAGTAACATAAAAACTCAACTCAGTTGGTTTTAAAAATGATCTTGGAGACAACCTCATCTCCTCTCATAGCAAAGAGCTCCTCAACATCTCTTGCGGTTGCAGAGACATCATCTTCTCCTGCCATAGCGGCAAATTCTTCAACATTTCTTATGATCACGGAGACAACATCATCTTCTGTCATTGTAGGGGAACTACTCAACACCTTCCGTAAATGCGGAGATAACATAATCTTCTGCCATCGCAGAAAACTTCTCAACATCTCTTATGATCATGGAGATAGCGTCATATTCTCCTGCCAAATTCTTCAAGGTCTTCCTCAATCATGGTGACAACTTCATTTTCTGCCATAACGGCGAATACCTCAACATTTCTTGGGATTGCAGAGATAACATCATATTCTCCCACCATACCAGTGGTGATCATCTCCCGTGATCGTTCATTATTTCCACACTTGATCACGGCACATTAGCTGACAGTCTGAATGAATCCCATCCCATGATAATCTCGAATTAAATGTGATCCTGCCCGAAGATTAGAGTTATACTTTTCACAAAAATTTCTCAAAATTTTGAGATCAGTTTATCCCTAGGAACAGACATTTCGCTTTCAAGTGAAAAGTCCCATGGTAAATGTTTAAACAAATTTGGAAATACATAAATTAGTCATATAACGTTAAATATGTACATTTTATTATACAGTGAAAGTTTATAATGGGAGATTTCAATAATCTCTGGTCAAATATTTGGTGGACGCCACATTGATAGGTGATTCTTGTTTTATATTTATTGTTGACATGAAACAACTTAAGAAAAGCTGACCTGTTGGGTCACAACGAGTTAGGTTAAAGAAACCACAGATGCCTCTTTTAGATTCCAAGTTAAACTTATAATTTAGATTACTTGTTAAAGTTATCTTCTCTTCGTAGTAATAAAATCATATTTTTTTTACTCATAAAAACTGTGAAAATATCTTTTCATGTCTTAACTCCAAGCTTTACAAAAGTGTCCAAGTTACACAACTTTTATGAAAAAATCTGGAAATCATTATGTAATTAAAATGTTTTGAAAATATATTTGGCAAGTCTAATGACTGCCATACTTACAACTTGCAATTTTCAAACATTTGCGTGTTATTATTTTTACCTATGTGTGAATTAATATTGTCCACAGAAGTATAATAAGTATTTATAACAATTCAAATGTTTCAATAACAAAGACCTCTGGAGGCAGAGTAAAGCTGATTCACTCATTACATTTTTCACATGCTTGTTCGCTTGTTGATGACCACATTTCCTCTTCACTTAATTGTTTGTTTAAAATCCGATCCATGTTTTTATTCATGTGATGATCTTGGGTGTAGTTTTGTTCCCAATTGTTGCTGAACCGAAATAAATAACTTTTTTTATTCAGGGTTAAATTAATTTGTTTATTGTTAGATCTTTCTTAGGAAGTTTACAGCAATTAGAATCTTATCTGAGTCTCTGGTTTTAGATATTTTTTAAACAAATCACAAAATGGTACTTTTTATGTACATATTTTGATCATATTTTCCCTGTACTTGAAGTGTGACGAATTTAACAAATAACTGTTATAGATAAATGAAATATTACCTCTTGTACAACATATAGGTAGTTTAAATGTTGAAAACTACACCCAAGATTGCATGGCTTGTATCCTACTGTTTGGTTGCTGCATGTTACTGTGCCTCTAGGTGAACGAGTCAACAAATCCGTGTCCGAGCCCAAGCTTAACGGAAAGGTACTCGTGAAAGGTAAGCGAAACCATTTATGCCCTCTGTGGAGCAGTTTTGTGTATTAATCCATTTGTTCATTTTATTGTGAGTGTGATAAATGTTGACTAGTTAGTATGGAACTGGTCGACTGGTGTAACTGTTTACAAGCTGTGCCTTTGTGCCTTTGTGCCTCTGTTGTGATATTGTAGACAAGCTGTTCATTCATTGGTCATTTGTTGGTGTTTCAATGTTGTGGTCGTTATTTGTAAGATTCACCATAACTCAAGTAGAATACAAGTATTGCTTAAAGTTTGATTTATTTAACAGCTGTACATGTTTTTGGTTTTTATGTTTCATTTTACAATTACCGTATCATGGTTTATGTGGGCTAATTAAATCGTAGGTACTCTAGGCATAGTTTTAGTGAATTTCCCATATATGGAAAAAGCTATTAACAATTAACTTCTGGTAGGTGGTAACTTTTGAAAAAATCTGGAATTTCTTTCCTGCTAAACAATTTGACAGAGAATGAAACATAAAAATAGTCTAATAACTAAAACGAATAATACATAACTTAAATTGTCAAATATGTTGAATCATCATTGTTATCGCTAATGTATGATATGCTCCTCAGTCCTTCCGATATCCGACTTTAAGGTCGTTCCAACTATGGCCCGGCCGGCCCGTTATGATCAGTTATGAGGGGTTCTACTTTACCTAAAACATAATAGGACCTCAAGATGCAATTTATTAAATAACAGTACAGTAAAAAAATATCAGTCACTGTAATATTGATTGATTAAATATTTGTAAAATACAAATTTATGAACATTTTTAGCTACTGTAACTAAATTTGTTTTTCATGTTTTTACGGTTATGTGCAGTACATTTACTACAGTCTGTTTGATGCGACCTGTCTTCTGACTCCGTTTACCCAGCTTTTAAACCATAGTTCCCAGGTGGACAGAGGGTTGAGAGACAGGTTTTGTCATACAGACTTTAATTGTTTATTGGAGTTTTTCATTGAATTGTATATAACAGATTCATAACAAAACCAATATTTTTCAAGCTATTATCACGTTCACCCTATAACAGGTTTATCCGTCACGTGAAACTACTCACGGGAGCGCATGACGGGTTTACCAGTCATTGGGTCCCTTCCAATACATTGATTCATTTTGAGCTCCGTGTTTGCCGGGGAACGTTATAATCATTGCCTTAGAATGTGAGCTTTATTTTGGTGTAGGTTGGTACTTAAAATTTCCCATTAAATCCCGTCTGGCAATGCTTTTGTCCCGGTTTCGGGGATTTTTTCTCTTCAAGCCACATTACAAAGACACTGACCATAGAACCAGGCAGTCCTGCTACCTTTGGGTGTTTCAGTGAACTACGTCCACTCTCAGGTTATCACAGCACAACCACCGCTGCTCTTTTGTTATTCGTCAGACTGAAATATTTGAATGCCAATTGCGTTCGATGATTCGGTTGTGCTCCGGGGCTTCGCCCGGGCCTCGCCGCCATTGGTGAGCGCCTGTTTGATGTATGCCGCAGTGAATGTTTTAAACTGTTAACGTAAAACATAAGCTCTCACAGTCATAGTTTATTTAATTTAGTTTAAAGTATAATCTTCACCGTGGAATCTTATGGAAATGATTCAAGTTGCTTAGTTGGCAAAAATACTGTCTAGTCTCACCGATATGTTGCAGTGATTCATACACAGAGCAAGCTAAAATTATACAGAATTGTATAGAATTTCATTATTGTGTACTATATAAACTCTAAAACTGTGGCTTAACCTGTAGGATTGCAGGCAACGTACATGCAATGTCATCCAGTATTTTTGTGATTTTTTACAATCACTGGAATCCTTCAATGAATGTCTGTAACCTTACAGGTCTACACAAGGACTCAGAGTCGGTGATGGGGAACTTCGGAGACTACTACTTCCGGGACTCGATGGATCACTCGTCGTCTGAGTCACAGCTGGTTGGTGCCTCTCATAGGTCCAGTAGGAGTCCGACCCCTGTACTACGCGGAGGTCGTCTACCTCTCCCCCCCACTGCACCACTCTCTCGGCCCCCTCCCCCCGCACTGCCTCCGCGCACCGTCACGCGACGCTTCAAGTTCATCAGGGTCTTTATACCGTCGGTCGTCATTGCTGCCATTTCACTCGTCACAATCGTAATTCTCGCTCTGGAGACAGAGATGCTGGGCGGAAGTTTACGACGTGCGCCAGAAATGATTGCTATACGCAGACTCTACTACGAACCTACAAAAGAGTTTTTCAAGTCTAAGTTCTCTTCGAGAGCCACTTAGTGGAGTTTTGTGGTTTTGTAACAACTCAGCGGGTTCCACCGATTGCTACCTCGAATCACAGTTTTTAAAGTTAGATCTTTTTAAAGTAAGATTAAGTGAATTTTTAATGAGTTGACGTACGTGTTATCAAAGTGAATGTTGGTTAATTCAAATTTGTTTATTCTCTGTTTTAAAATGTTTACTTGTAAACATTGATAAAATATTAATCAGCTTCAGTAGTGATATGATGTCAAAGTTAAAACCAGTAGAATGGCAATCTTTTAGTTTGATTTCCAATTTTCTGCATAAATAAAAAAAAATTAATGACAATTTTGGACATAAGTCACAAAATCTATTTGTATAACACTCCTATTAACATGTTCACTGCACATGACAAGTAATCTCGTCACCGCTGGCGCTTTCCAGTAGTGTGCGACAAGTATACTCGTCAAACCGCCGTTTACAAACTATTGTTCCATCCAAGGTTAGCCACTGCCGCGAGGCGTTGTTTCACGTGCCGCTTATTATGCCTGTGTTATACTTCAATCTGTTATAATTTGTTTTCAGATCAGACCATTTTATCGGAGGTAGGGATTATTAAAAATCTATTGTAGTGTGGGGTTTAGGCTTGGATCTAATGACATGTAATAGAATAACGATAATGAATGTACTGTAAGCACTGTGGAAGGAACCTAACCTCAAAATTGTGTTTGACCACTTTTTTGCGTTCTTTAGTGTATCCGGGTATTTCAGCCCTGCTTTTTCCCTCCATTTGGCAATACCAGTATTTGGCTGGCTAGCAGAGTATTGTTTAGTGCTGCTATCTGTTGGGTTCTTGTAAAGCTACGTTTACAAAGACTGGGACTTAGTATATGCCTCCCATTTGGATGAAACCAAATTTAAACGTATTCCCGCACTCATCCACCCAGTGTTTAGCTGTTCGCGCCGCCGCATTGAACGTGTTAACACCCCAGCTTTCATTAATCAATCATTGGGCTTAATAAATGGTCCTGCCTTTAAAAACAGCTGATCTTAGTCTGTATAAAGCTACACAAAGCATCCCACTCCATGTCACACTCACCGTACGTTTATATTTGAGTAAAAATACGCCCAGTAGGGTTGCCATGTCTATCGGTAAAAAATCTATGTTCATTGCTGATTATTTAAAAATACATTTTTATAACACATAATTTACCTAAACTAAAGTATATTGTGCTGTCCTAAGGCTACGGCCACACGGGCTTTTTTTCACGCGGTAAAATGTAGCTTATTTTCACGCTGCTTGAATTCCCGCTGTTGTATGCCACACACGCGTTTTTTTCACGCAGTAAAATGTAGCTTATTTTCACGCTAGTTGAAGTCCAGGAACGGGAAAATACACTCGGAACCCGCAGTTGATTGACGAATTCACGTAATTATGTTGTATATCTTCTTTATGACCGAAATAGTAACCTTGTTTCTGACTAGTGAACAAGAAATATGAATGGTATATTAATGTTGGTACATTAAAATTATTTGATTTGTTAACCTTTCATTTAATTATTTACATTTAGTATAAAAAAATAAATATATTACAACTATTTTTATGACAAGATTTTCATCAGATCTTTGTATATCCTACTACATAAATGCCATTTTACATTTTTTTTTTTTAGTCCAACCAAACGCCTTTCCTTTTAGTAAAAAATTATTAAGTGGTCCAGTAAGGTCGACCTATGTTTAAGATCCTACTGCGTAATTGGCTAGACCCAAAAATATTTTACGCTATCCTGGAAAAAATTAGATACATTTATTTATCTTTATTTAACTTGCTAGGACGACTTGATCAAAGCTGCGTGTTGCTCCCGCCCGTGTGGCCAGGGACAGAGCGTGAAAACAAGCTTCAAAAATGCACCCCAGTCCATCCTTCTGCGGGCCCGCGGCGGGTGATTTTGCAGACGCGCCTTATCTGCGTGAAAACACACTCCGTGTGGCATACCTCATTACATTTAATGCTGCCCATATTTCTCGCGTTTTTTCACGCTGCGTTCTTGCGTGAAAAAACGCCCGTGTGGCCGTAGCCTAATAGGAGGTTTTAACAGCAAAGAAATAAATAAATTGGTCTCGAAATCTGATACTGTATGTATTTGAACAATATTTTTTCATATGTGAAAACTTATGAAAACATATTATTTCTATGACTGTCAAACCAAATCTGTCAAACCAAATTTCCCCAAATAAAAAAAAAATTTGATAACCATGATTATGATTTTTTTGTCAGCTCACTGCTTTTAGTTTCCTTAGCATTATCAAAGCATTTGATGTGGAAATCTTGTATGTAGTTTTTTTATAATGAAACGTTTAGTTACATTTAAAAGCTGAAGGTAGGTTATCGATTAGGTTTTAGTGTTTTTTTTTTTCAACAGAAAAGATAATTATAAATTTAAATAATGCCTTGAAAATATTCAAAAAACCTTTGTTATACTACTCTTTGTTTAAAATTGCACATACAACTTTTATTTATGTGATGAGATTACTTGAAGTTTTCTCATGATTGTGAGAATGACTGTAAAGCTAATGATTTATTAGTAATAAATAATGAAAAGTGTGAAGATAAAAGATTGTTGTGTAACATATCTCTTAAAATCATTCCCGATTTCACATTAAAATATAATTTTATATAAAGAACACTAATTTTCATATAAAGTGTATATCACATGTATATTGTAAATAGCTTTGTTTTAAAGAATGCATTGAATGTAAAACGGTTCCTTCTTGTTTTTGAAACAACTTAAATTTTATATTTTGTACCATAAACCTATTTTTATATTTCTATTTTAATTTTATAGGTTTGTTCAGCAAGAAAAAGAGCTTTAGTTTTACTATATTTTCCACTCTAAAAGGGTGTCTCAGTCCCAAAAGTTTCATTTTTAAATCTTTGCAAGTCCATTTACAAATTGCTGTTAGTGGGAGGTAATTGCTTTTAAACACATGTAATACAGTACTTGGAAAAGAAAATTACAATTTTTTAAATGAATTACGTTTTGACACAAAAACAGTGTGTTTCTAAAAAAAAACATACAAGTTTGAATTTTGTTGTGATGGTAAACTTTTTAAAACCTTAATTTAAGTACAGTGCTTGTCAATGCAAACAAACTAATCAACTATCTGTTCTAGATTGTGAACGTTAAATGGACACAGTTCATCAATTCACTTCTACTTTAGTCCGTACAATCAAGTGAGTGCTTAAGTTTCATTTTCCAATTACACAACATAATATTCCACTGATTTTTCTATGACATTTTTGGGACTTTATGGATAAGTTTTATTCCATTTGTATTGTGTATATGTATTGATCCAGTGATAAACTAGTGATAAAAACTGAAAAAATATTGAATGAACATAAAAAAGAAGAGTGATGTCTGTGTGATGTGTTAATTGTAAAATTGAATGTCTTGAATGCCTTTTGTTATAACACGGTACAAACACTTATTGTTCTTCAGTTTAGTAAACAAATTAATTAAAACACATTCTTTTATTACTTTTAAGTGAGTTTGTATTAAATAGTGTAAAAAATGAAACAAGTATTTTTAAAACTGCCATTATTAGCTGCCAGTAATGTTTTAAAATTTTCTCACTCAATTTTGTGATTTGTATTAGGTGTATATTTAATTAATTACATAGTATTTTAATTTAGGTTGGAGATTTTTTTACTAAATAAAAGTTTAAAAATCTTAAGAAGCAACATTTGTCACTAAATTGAAATAACATTACGCTTTAGTTATAGGAGAATTTAAATGCCAACTATCTTTTTTTCTTTTCTTGTTCTAATTATTATCATGAATCCATTTTTGGTCATGGTTACTAGTTATAAAATGTTATTTAATGCTTTTATGAATTTAGCAAGGACAAAGGTTTGACTGACATTATATATTCTGATAAATGCAACTAAGAAACCGTTATTAAATTGAGTACGTATCTATGTCCTTGAAGTCCAACACACCAAATTACATGCCAACACTATTAACACATTTTTTTAGGTAATCAGTGTATAAATCTAACTGTTGGATCATTTTGTTAGTACAATTAATATGAACAAATATTTAAATTTTCTACCATTATGTATTTTTAGCATAAAACCTGCATGAATACAAATATTATTTACACCACAAAAAGCTAACTTTAGGTTTCGAAATTCGATATTAGTTTAATTTGCTTTTCTTATGAAATTCTAATTGTCACTTAAAGTATTTTTTAGCTTAAAAGAATTGTTAACAAAAATGTTATTTGAACTTTTTAGTAACTTTTTTCTCTGCAGTTTTAAAGTGTTTTGTTTAGGTTGTGGTTTTAATGATTAATCTGAGCACTTAATATTGTTTTCAGAGTGGAATTATTTAAGCTTTTAAACTCACAAAATAGTTTATTTCATACTATACACTTTGTGTAAATATTAATTTTTATCAGTCTTAAAAGCTTTATTTTATTTTGATAAACCAAGTAATATTTTTTAAATTTATACTTTACCCAACTCGGGTATAAAAATTTGTGATGAAAAGCTTTGTTAAGTGATATTAAAGAGTGCGTAGCACTTTTAATTGAAATGCATTATCCTTTGGTTGTAAACCTACCTAAATGTCTTATCTGTCGATTCTCGAAGCTAAATAGCTAATTTTGTTTTTACTTTAGTAGTTATGCTTCAGTTGAGAATGGGTGTTTTGTTAATAGTATGACAACAAAACTTTGAGAATTGTTAGACTTTTGTACTTTTATAGGTGTGACTGCTTTAACCTCATTAAAACCAAAATGTTTATTTTGCAAAATATTATTTTACACTATAATAATCTAAATTTAAGATAAACAAAATGTTGGAGACATTCTTCAAGCAACATGTTGTAAGTTGTTTGGACTTGATTTATAATGTTGGTAAGTTTAAGATGTGGTCTTGGGTTTACTTAGCACATGTACTCTCAAGCAAAATCTTTTTATTTGATATTGATCTCACTCAAAATACATGGAATTGTACAGTATTAATTATGTTGTACTAGTTTTTACTGACTGTTTGAAATATTCTTTGTTGTTATCAAGAAGTGCTTTCATAGTGTTTCCAAAAATCCAAAGTAACATTATTCATAATTTTATGTTGGTTTATCTCAAAATAGTCAAAATCATTATGGCAATAGTAATTCATTATACACATTGTTTTCAAAATACTCATTTTTGATAAAAATATAACTATCTTTTTTATTGTAAAGAACAACTTTGCTTTATGATAACTTGACATAGGTACCTTATCCAAATATTTCCGACAATCCATATGAAATTTTAATGTGTTTTATCCAAATTTACAATCATATATAGTACTTGGATTTATATCTTTTTCTATTAATATTAAAAACTGATCTCAATACTTACTTATGTATCTAAGTTGCTATATTTATTATCTTAACTATTTTAAAGCTTGTAGGAATAATAAGGCCATGACCAGAGCGCTTTGAATCGTTTGCACAATTTTAACTATCAAATATAATAGTCGCAACAAAGGTTAGTTCCTAACAACATTCCATTTTATTCGTTTTGGAAAGTCCAAGTAGATCTAGGCTAGTACAAACATTACCGATAATATTGTTTTTGGTCAATTATTAGGTAACGAAATGTTAACATAAGTAGATTACGCTGCCTGTATATATTGCACTCTTGCTGGTTCGTAGTTTTGTACAGTTTATATTCTGACTTGGTGGCAAGTACAATCTTACGACCAAACTATTGAAACTGTTTATAATAAATCTTGTATTCTCAATAGATTTTCTTGATTTAATTCCCTATTTTTCTCTTTAAATATACAAATGTCTGTACAATTTATCACATACTTATCCGGTAAACACCTATTTTCCTAAGTACCGGTAACGTAATATACATTTTCCAACAGTTACCTGACAAAGTGGGCTTCCTTGCACTATGATTATAGCATGCAATTGCTATTTTCTCATTAATTCTGCCACACTAATTTTTACCGCACTTCAGTGTTACAACCAAACAACACAAAACAGAGGGGGGGGGGGTTTATTAGGCACGAAATATTTGTGTACGCTTGGAAATAAGTTGACTACACTTAAAGATACTACAACTACGATCAGCTGGTGCAGCGTTTCCTATTTTGTTCAACACTTGGATTTAACCTAACCTAAAAACGTGTTGTATAGTGTTTGAAAAACTAATTATTTATATGCTTTATACAGTAGTAACTGTAAGAAAAATATAATGTGTAACACAAGTGCAAAGTGCCACTTTACACAATAGTTACACAAATAACGATTTCCTCTACAATGTTTATGTTATTGCTGATTGCAAAAGTCCAAAATGAATTATATGAATCTTATGTTTGTGTCAATAATCAATGGAAATGTAGAATGTATGTTTTTGTTTTTT